AAATCCAGGATTTTAAAAAGATTTTCCAGGTGATTTTAATGTGCAGCCAAAGTTGAGAACCACTGATCCTAAGCTATTGTAAATTGCACTGCTATGGACATAGAGGTGCATATATTCTTTCTGATGGGTGTTTCTGAATTCTTGGGATATATTCCTAGAAGTGGAATAACTGGGTCAAATGGTAGTTCTGCTTTTAATTTTTTGAGGAAACTCCAAACTGTTTTCCACAGAGGCTGCCTCAGTCTATATTCCCACCAGCAGTGTATAAGGTTTCCCTTATCTCTAGATCCTTGTCAACACTTGTCCTTTGTTGATTTGTTGATGATAGCCATAATAACCTCTGTGATGTGGTATCTCATAGTCATTTTGATTTGCATCTTTGGGATGATTAGTGACTTTGAGCATTTTTTCATATGCCTTTTGGCCTTCCATATGTCCATTTTGGAAAAGTGTCTATTAAGGTCCTTTGCCCATTTTTAAATTGGATTGTTTATCTTCCTTTTGTATGAGTTCCCTGTAAATTTTGGAGGTTAACCCCTTATTGGATGTCACATTGGCAAATATGTTCTCTCATGCAGTGGGCTCTCTTGTTATTTTGTTGATGGTTTCTTTTGCTGTGCAGAAGCTTTTTATTTTGATGTAGTCCCATTTGTTTATTATCTCCTTAGATTCCATTGTTCTAGGATTTGTATCTGTAAACATATTGCTATGAGAGATGTCTAAGATTTTGCTGCCAATGGTTTCTCCTAAGATTTTTAGGGTTTCATGTCCTACATTTAAGTCTTTTCTCCATTTTGAGTTTATTTTTGTGTATGGTGTAAGTTGGTGGACTAATTTCATTTTGTTGCATGCATCTGTCCAATTTTCCCAATACCGTTTATTGAAGAGACTGTCATGACTCCATTGTATGCTCTTGCCTCCTTTGTCAAATATTAATTGGGCATAATGGCTTGGGTCGATTTCTGGGTTCTCTGTTCTGTTCCATTGGTCTATATGTCTGTTCTTGTGCTAGTACCATACAGTTTTGAGTATAGTGGCTTTGTAGTATAACTTGGTATTGTGATCTTCCAACTTTGTTCTTCTTTCTCAAGATTGCTATGGTTATTTGGGGCTTTTTTGGATCCATATAAGTTTTAGAGAGTTTGTTCTAGGTCTGTGAAATAAGCTGTTGGTATTTTGATAGGGATTACATTTAATCTATAGCTTGCTTTTGGTAGTATGGACATTTTTTTAAAAAAATTTCTTTATTGATTAAGTTATTACATATGTGTCCTTATCCCCACATTACCCTCCATACCCCCCACTCATGCCCTCACCCCCCCTGTTGTCTGTGTCCATTGGTTAGGCCTATATGCATGCCTATAAGTCCTTTGGTTGATCTCTCCCTCTTATCCCCACCCTCCCCTATCTTCCCTCTGAGGTTTGATGGTCTGATAGATGTTTCTCTGTCTCTGGATCTGTTTTTGTTCATCAGTTTATGTTGTTCATTATACTCCATAAATGAGTGAGATCATGTGATATTTATCTTTCTCTGACTGGCTTATTTCACTTAGCATAATGCTCTCCAGTTCCATCCATGCTGTTACAAATGGTAAGAACTCTTATTACCACCATGTAGAATTCCATTGTGCAGGTGTACCACAGTTTTCTAATCCATTCATCTGCTGATGGGCACTTAGGCTGTTTCCAAATCTTAGCTATGGTGAATTGTGCTGCTATGAACATATGGGTGCACATATCCTTTCTGATTGGTGTTTCTGGTTTCTTGGGATATATTCCTAGAAGTGAGATCACTGGGTCAAATGGGAGTTCCATTTTAGTTTTTTGAGGAAACTCAATACTGTTCTCCACAGTGGCTGCACCAGTCTGCATTCCCACCGGCAGTGCAGAAGGGTTCCTTTTTATCCACATCCTCGCCAGCACTTGTCGTTTGTTGATTTGTTGATGATAGCCATTCTGACAGGTGTGAGATGGTACAGCATTGTCGTTTTGATTTGCATCTCTCGGATGATTAGTGGCTTTGAGCATGTTTTTATATGTCTCTTGGACTTTCTTCTGTCCTCTTTTTTTAAAAATATATTTTATTGATATTTTACAGAGAGGAAGGGAGAGGGATAGAGAGTTAGAAACTCTATGAGAGAGAAGCATCGATCAGCTGCCTCCTGCACACCCCCTACTGGGGATGTGCCTGCAACCAAGGTTCATGCCCTTGACCGGAATCGAACCTGGGACCTGTCAGTCCCCAGGGCTGATGCTCTATCCAGTGAGCCAAACCAGCTAGGGCTTTCTTCTGTCTTCTTTCGAAAAGTATCTATTTAGATCCATTGCCCATTTTTTGATTGGGTGTTTATCTTCCTTTTGTTAAGTTGTATGAGATCCCTGTACATGTTTATTTTTGAGTAAGTCGCAATTCCTTTAGTTTCTTCTTAGTTTCCCTTTCCGCT